TGCCAATAGTTAATGAGGCTACTGGCTTTCTCGTTCACTCTTGGGGCATGGGTAAAAACAGAGAATCCCCTCTTGAAGTCCCCTTATCAAGGCACAGATTGAGCTTCCCAGGAGCCCCTATCAAACCTCTCTTTGCAACCTGTCAGTCAGAAATGGTCTCAGAGCTCTCTATCTCTAAGCCACTCAAAGAAGCAAGGGGAATGTACCTTCTCAGAATGACTTAGCTATAGACCAAACAAGGCATCTCCAAGCTGAAGGTCAATCTGCCATACTCTTGCTATTACCCAATGGGAGAAAAGGAAGGTCAATGTTGGAAGGACAACCATCTGTCCACTTACAAGACATTTCTATTTTCCTAGTTAAAAGTCCCAGCCTGTTGCCCTGCTCCTTCACAGGCAGGATCCCTGGACTTTTTCTAGCCTGGCTGTTTTCCCCAGTGCTCAGCACTTTGGGCTGCTAATCCATGCAGAAGTGTAGCCACTCCCTCAATAGCCTCTGACATTTTGCAGTGAAGACAGACCAAGGAAAGAAAAAAATCAAAATCTGGAACGGAACACAGCTTTACCTTCCTTCACATGCACCACATGGTTTGCAACTGTTTGCTTGCTTGCCTTGCATCCTTTTCCTCTTCGTTTAGTACCAGCTCCCAGACTCTCCTGCACAAGCCACCCCACCCTCACTGTCAGGCCCCATGGTGCAGAAAGGCTCTTCTTGCCCTCTGGCTCTAGCTATGGACTTATGTTCCTGCCTTGGCCATTCAGCATATTCCTTTCCCCTGGCCACTACAAATGATTCAGAAATGGGCAAGTGACCTAGGCCTGACCGAAAGTGCCAATCATTTCATGGTCACAAGAACTATTGGGAAAGAAGAGCTCCCTCTTAATAGAGAGATACTGGGGCCACCACAAGCAGACTTCCCAGGAAAGAAACAAACACAGAGAAAAGCCAGGGCTAAATGTAGAAAGAAACAGATGTCTAAAGACTTTGTGCAAATATTTAGATCCAGCTGTGCTTGAACAAATATTTGGATCCATATTGTCTTGAACACATCAGGTATATGAGCCAATAAATTTATTTTTGTTTCTTCAGCCAGTTGAATTTGGGTTCCACAATGGTTCTGATATGGTTTGTTGCCCCCAAAACCTATTGGTATTTGGTTGAGTCTTGGTTCGCAATGTAGCAATGTTGAGAGGTGATTAGGTCATTAAGCATGATTGATGCTCTTCTCACAGGAATGGATTCTCACTCTTGTGGTATAAGATTAGTTACTTGTGGTATGAGATTAGGGGGTTGTCACAAAGGGAGTTTTGTGTCTTCAGTTAGGTCCCTTACTTCAAAGTCTCTTTGTGTGCTGTTTTCTATACAAGCCTATTTCCCCTTCCATCTATTGACCATGCATAGAGCAACACATGGTCCTCACCATAAGCTGAACAGACATCAGCACTATGCTCTTGTACCTCCAGAAATAAACCTCTTTTCTTTATAAATTATTCAATCTTGAGTACTTTGTTATAGCAACAGAAAATGAACTAAGAAATTTTTTCCTTCCCCACGGAGAAACTTGTTAACTCTACCAGGCAGTTATTTCTGTTCCTCCTTTCATCTTTGATGCTTAAATTTAATGTTAGGAAAAAGCACAGAATGTTCATGCTTCTCCATTAGAATCTCTTTTACCGACTTCCGCTATTTTATTGGGTCAGTCCCACAAAGCATTCCAAATATTTCACAGTGGCAAGATCCATCATTGTTGGCCAAGAATGGAACATAGCATGTATTTATTTATACATGCGTTTATTATATTCTCAGAGAGTGGTTAACCCTTCATTTTTCTTAGGGAAAAAAAATGAGCATGTCACTGCCTCATTTCCCCACCCCTTTAGATTTGGAGAAATAATAAAGTTGAGTATTTCTGAACTTTAGAGAGTTAAAAACAAACCCAATCATCCCCCTGGTTAAAAAAAAATGGAAAAAGGCCTAGTCACAGAGGGCCCTCTTCCCTCAAATGCATTCCAAAGCAATGGAACTAATGCACACACCAGGCCACATGCCATCAACTGCCGCTTGGAGAACATCTGAAGAACATCCACCTCTTCCGGCCACCCCCACTCCCAGCTGTCAAGGCTCCCCACTTGCAGTCCTCATGTTCCTGAAATGATATGTGCAGGGCAGATGTCACAGGGCTCACATAAGGCTCGAGGGCAGCCTTGACCCTAGAGTGCTTTGCTGCTCAGCTGTCACAGCTGATTGGGCCATAGGCCCAACTCAGGACTCGGTCAGAAAGCCACCAAGACAAGATTCGCTTTCCCTCACACAGAAGAGCTCCTGATGCTCCAACACTGCACTGCAGCTTTCTGCACAGGCAATGCTAGTCCCAGTGCAGTTACAGCCTTTATTGGTACTCTTTTTCAAATCCTTTTTAAAAACCGTGGTTAAACACATGTAACAAAATTTACCATCTCAAGTGTACAGGTCAGTGGCATTAAGTACATTCACGCTTTATGCAGCCATCAACACCATCCACCCCCAGAACCCTTTTGTCTTGCAAAACTGAAACTCCTAACTTATTAAACAGTAGTACTTCATCTCCCCCTTGCTCTGGCCCCTGGCAACCACCATTTGACTTTCTATTCCACGAGTCTGATCTCTCTCTGTTTATCTGTGTAAGTGGAATGATAGAGTATTTGTCCTTTTGTGAAAGGCTTATTTTACTTACAGTAATATCCCAGTGTTTGACACATGTTGTGGTACGTGTCGAAATTCCCTTCCTTTTTAAATCTGTGTGATATTCTACTGTATGTATAGTTCATAATTTTTTAATTCACTTATCTGTCAGTGGGCACTGATGTGGCCACCACTTGACTAGTGAGTAATACCATTATGAATGTAGTGCACAAATATCTTTCAAGACCCTTTCAATTATTGTGTGTATATATAAAGAGGTATAATTGGATCATCTGGGAATCTGTTTTTAATTTTTGAAGAACCACTATCCTATTTGCCACAGTAGCTGCAACATTTTGCATCCCCACCAGCAATGCCCAAGGTTCCAATTGTCCACATCCTCACCAACACTTGCTGTCTTTTGTCTTTTTTTTTTTTTTACAGTAGATATTCTAATGGGTGTGAGGTGGCATTGATTTTTACTGCCACTCAGTTATCACTGTACTGGCGATAACTACTATTACTTTGCCAAGTTGTACCAAGTGTATTTCTTTAATGTTTAAGAGGTGGTCTTAATTCACTTTGAAGATATATGATCCTTTGTTCCTGGCCAACTTGGTGCAGATGGCCTATCTTCTTCTAAGACAGAGATTCTAACTCAAAGCCAGAGGAGCCCAGAGATTCTTTTGTTTTTCAGAAAAGGAAACAGAGGTCCCCAGAGGCATTACACAATGGTTAAGAAATTTGAATGGAGCACATCTAAATTGAAAACCTGTCCCTGCCATTCTCTAGCTGCATGACTGTGGAACTGTCTCTTGGCCTCTAGATTTAAACCTAGCTTCTTTTCATGTGCAATGTAGAGACAGGGATAGTATTTATCTTGCAGAGTTGTTTAAGAGTGAAGCTGCTTAGCACATGCCAAATGCGGTACACAAAGTAATTGCTCAATAAATGCTAGCAGCTCTTATGGTTACTGTTCTCTTATTCCTATTAAGTAACTTGCCCACATCCCATGACTAGTGAATTGGGTATCCTAAAACCCAGAATATATTCTTGATGTAGGCGCTCTTGACCCTACTTCCCCAATATATGAGCCCACCTCCAAAAGCCCTGCCTTGCTACTGTAATCAGTTGTGTTTATTCTAAAATAAACATTCAACTCATTCCTTTAGTAGTACGTCTCATTCAATTCCATGCAGAACAGACGACAAACCAGCTGTGGGAATATGGTGGTGATTGTCACTGCAAAGTATCAGTTGTCCAAGACATTGGAAGGCAAGGGACAAAGCTCAAGCAAGGAAAGGAAAGGTGCTCAGAAGAGTGGGTCTTACAAGTCCTTTGATCTCAAGGAAGGCCATATGCTTTGATGTGATGTTGTTCCTCTGTCACTGGGGAGTTGTTTTACCTGGGAATTAATTCTATCATGCATTTGTCTGATGGTTTACAGTTTAAAAAGATTCTCTCACTGGATAATTACTTCTTGGGAGCCTCCTCTGATCAAGTAAGATGATGTGTGAGGCGTCAGGGACATGGCCAAGAGCAGTGCCAGATGGCCTGCTGTTATTTGTGCTGAGGGAAATTGACATGATTTGGAAATCCCACTGACCAGGGTGAAAACTGCAAGTGTGCTAAGAGTAAGGATGAGAGAAGCGGGTGTTCTGAGACTCCAAAAGGGGCTCATAGCTGAGCTCTAAAGGATGAGTCACGGGAAGTGTTAATCAAGGAGCAAATAAAATAAACATCTGTTCAGTGTTGAGCCCATATCTGTCTGTGGGTCTCAGATATTTGCAGTGCTTATTCTTCACCAACCCTGTCATACTTAAGGCTCAGGCACTAGATAAGCTCGGGGGATTACTGAAAGTACCCAACCTGTCCATGAATAGGAGAGTTGTTATGTAATGTGTACCTTCTCCTAACTACAGGATACCACGCAGCTGTGAGTACAATTAAATAGACTTACATAAGCTATTATGAGAAGATTACCTTAGAAAGTGAAGAGATCCTAGCAGGGCAAAGTTTTTGTTGTTGTTGGGTTTTTTGTTTGTTTGTCTGTTTTGTACCAGGGATCGAAGTTGGGACCTTGTGCTTGCGAGGCAGGTGGCAGCACCACTGAGCTAAATCCCTGGCCCCTGTGGCAAAATATTTTTAAATGACCATTTATATAAAAAATGTAAGTATATGTAAGTGTATGCAGAAATATACATATATGTAAGTGTATGCAGAAATCGGTGGCAGGGGGACACACAAGAAACTACTTACACTAGTTTGCTTGATGTGTTAGTCAGCTTTCCGCTTCTGTAACAAAATACCTGAGTTAATCAAATTAAAAAGAGGCTCACATTTTGGAGGTTTCGGCTCATGGATAATTCGCTTGATGACTTTGGGCCTGTGGCATGGCAACACATCATCGCGGGAGCACTTGGCAGAGGAAGCTGCTCACTTCATGCAGTCAAGAAGGGAAAAGAGAGAAAGAGACCAGATTTCCAATGTGCCCTTCAAGGGCACACCTCAGTCACCCAATTTCTTCCCACTAGGCCTCAATTGCTAAAGTTTCCACCAGCTTCCCAAATCACCGGTGACTAATCTTTTAACACATGAGCCTCTGGAGGAGTTTAAAATTCAAACTACGGCACTAGGATTGACAGAAAGTACTATAAGGGGAATGGTTCAGAAAACAAAAATTTGTTCTCAGAGTTTTGAGTTTAAAGTCTAGGGTCAGGGAGTGGGCAGGGCTTGCTCCTCTGGATAACCACAAGAGAAGGGCCTCTTTGTCTTGTAGACATCACTGTCTTTCTATGTCTCTTCACATCACTTTCCCTCTGTGCCTGTGTCCAAATTTCCCCTTTTTATAAGGATATCAATCATGTTGGATCAGGGCACACCCCAGTGACCTCACTTTAACTGGATTATTTGTATAGAGACTATCTCCAAATAAGACCATATTCTGAAGGTTAGGACTTCAACATACGAATGTAAAGGGATACAGTTCAACCCACAACACTATTAGAAGAAGGAAGGGGACTTACCTTTCATTTCATACTGTTCTCTGTAGCATCCAAATCTTCCAATAAACATGAATTTCTATTAACAAAAAATGTTTTAATTAGAAAAGCAGTTGGCTATTTAAACCCTTTCCCACCCACCAAAATCACCTGCCTAATAAAAACCACCTGCCAGGTAAAAAGCATTAAGGATGTCCTTACCTGTGCTGTCAAATGTCTGGATGTTCAGCATCCAGAGCATATACATGGAGGTCTTTGGTATTCAAATATCTTAAAATGTGCCTGACTTCTACCATAAGTTTCCCAAAAGTTTTAAGCAGAAGCTACATGTCTTTTTCTGATTCAGCCTTAGAAATTAAAGCACCACTACGACTGTACCGATCAGAAGCTAGTCCCTAAAATTCAAGGGTGCAAATTTGGCCCAGAGTCAAGGGGAGGAATCTGGCAGAAACTCACAGCCTTTTGAGACCTAACTTTGGAGAGTACTGCATGTATGAATTCTCTATTGCAGTATGATAAATTCTCCTAAGTTCAACAGCTTAAAACAACAAATCCTTATGATCTCACAGCATCAAGGGGTCAAGAGTTCAGGAGTGGCTTAGCAGGCTGCTGCTGACTCAGGGTTTCTTGTGAGATTGTAGCCAATGCATCCACAAGGGCTGCAGCCTCCTGAAGGTTTGGAAGAAGTTAGAAGATCTAATTCCAAAGCAGCTCATTCATGTAGCTATTGAAAGAAGGCCTCACTTTCCTGCCTCATAGGTATCTCCATGATGTTGCCTGGGTGTCCTAAAAGCAAGGCAGTCAGCTTCTCCCAGAAGAAAGGAGGGTAGGGGGAGGATGCTGTGTCACTTACGTCCTGTCCCTCTTGTGTTAGTTGGCTTTTCAGAACTGTGAAAAATACCAGAGATAATCAGTTTGTAAGAAGGAAATTTTCTTTTGGCTCCGTTTTCAAAGGTGCCAGTCCATGATCACTCCACTGTTTTGAGTCTGTGACGACGCAGAACTTCACGGCAGAAGGTATGTGATAGAGGAGGCAATGTTTACCTCATGGTGGCTTGGTAGAGGGCCAGGGAGGAAGGGTCAGGGTCTCCAATATCACCTTCCGGAGCTCAGCCCTGATGACCTAACTTCTTCCCACAAGGCCTCGCCTCTTAAAGGTTCCACCACCTCCCCGTTAGCACCACAGGTTGGCAACCAAGCCCTCAACACTCAGGCTTTAGGGGACATTCGAGATTCAAACTATAGAAACTGTGAAGTCACACCCCATCATTTATACTTAATTCTGTGTGCTAGGAGTGAGTCGCTAAGTCCAGCCCACATGCAGGGAGAAAGGACATTAGGCTTTACTTTCTGTAGGAAGTTTCTGAACAATTTTGAACCCTTTGGAATGTCACCCAAAGCACCACTTCTGATGCACTTTACTGATTACAAGAGAGTCTCAGCTTAGATTCAAGAGGAAAAGACACAGAACCCACCTTCTGCAGGAGAAATGTCACAATTTTCAGGCAGGTACTTAGATGCACCATCTCAATCAGCCTAGGGAGCCAGAATAAAATATCCCATTCTAAGTGGTTTAAACAATAGTTATTTCACACAGTTCTGAAGACTGAGAAGTCTAAGATCAAGGTGCCAAAGATTCAGTTCTTGGCTTGCAGATGACTGCCTTCAGAGAGAACGAGGAAAAGGAGGA